ATAGATGATGATTTATTGAAAACAAAATGGATCGAATTTTTTAATATTTGTATTAATACAACGAATATATATATACACTTGAAGATTTAGAAAATTTACTGGAAATCAATCAAGATATTGCTCTTGAATTTCAAAGAAAATTTAATGTTATTGTGGGAAATTATGAAGATGCAATTATTGATTTAACAAATTTGCTTGTTATAGAACCAAACAGCAAATTTGCACTAAGATATCGAGGAGAGGTCTATTATCTAATGGAAAAATATAAAGAATCTTTCAATGATGTGAATAAATTACTGAAAATTAATACAAATGATGAATGGGCATCAAAAATTCTTATAGAAATTACTAAAAAGTAAATATAAAGTTATTCTGTTTCAAGAGTTTTTCAAGAGTATTCTAATTATTATATACATGTTGAATTTATAGGGAGTGAGCATAATATTTATTGTTTTTGAATTATAGTTTGCAAGATTAACTAAATAGACTTTGATAAATTATTGTTTTTAATTTTGGTAAGTGTGCATACCATTCTTTTAAAATCTACTAAAATTAATATTTTTAACAAATTATCTTAATTATCTATATTTATTAATAACTAGATTGTGAGTGTAAATTTTAGAATACATTTTAAATATGTATTTGATTTAAGCATTTTTTTCTGATCAGTTACAACTTTTAAATAACTAGTTTGTAACTATAAAGCCCATGTGTTGATCAAACATATGAATTAGGATATTTTTATCTTCACGGAATTAACGTTGAAAAGGATGAATATAAAGCGTTCACACATTTCAAAGAATCTGCGGATATAGGGAATACTGAAGGAATTAATAGTCTTGGCTATTGTTATCAATATGGAATAGGTGTTGAAAAGGATGAGAATCAGGCATTCATTTGTTATCAAAAATCAGCTGACATGGATAATTCTAATGGAATGTATCAAGTTGGTTATTGCTATTACTTAGGAATTGGAGTTGAAATAGATAAGTATAAAGCATTTACTATTATTTGAAATCCGCTAAGGCAGGTAATTCTGTAGGAATTTGGAAAACAGCTATTTGTTACAGATTTGGAATTGGCGGGAAGAGAATCATGATAAACATGTAGAATGGGCTAGCAAGTATGTTAAATTTTAATTTTTATTACAGATTGTAATTTTTTTTATTTTAAAATTGAGATTTCTTGTACAATTTTAATTATTAGAGAGTAAGCATAAAGAACATTTATTAATCTTATTTTAACAATTTAATTTCGTAAATATATATTAGTAAATTAACTTTGCAAATATTATGTTAATTTAGCTCGTAAGTATAAGGAGCTTTTAATAGTTCTAAAAATCAAATAACAAAATTAGTTTACAAAACAAGAAATAAATATTTATTGTGGAGATTATGCTGAAATTTGGACCATGCTGAAATGTTATATAAGCCATATGAAAAAATGTTTAATTAAAAATAAAACCTTAAACCTTAATTCTAACCTTAACTCTAAAAAAAAATTGTCTGTATATTTTATAGAAATGAACCAGATTTTAAAAAACTTCATATTTACTAATATAAAATTAGATTATAATTCGGGCCAGCTGGCCCAACAATTTTTTATAATTTGGGCGACATTTCAACAACTTAGTACAATCTTGTATGCAGTTTTTTTTTTATTTAATCTAGGGTTTTATTCTAAATTTAGATTGGCAGTTAGTATTGCAATTTTTTACATATTTTGATTGGCTAACTGAATTTCAGAATTTATAACATAAGTGTTTGTATAATACATAAGTTATCAATATTCTAATTTTACCACAATATCAAATTTTGTATTAAAATAATTAATCTTTAATATTTACAAATAAAAAATTTAGAATATTAACTGGCTTAATAATAAAAACTCTTCCCATAGATCATTTTTACCAAAAAGAAACAAGAAGAAAAAACTTTTTTGCAGTAATATCTTTAAAGCCTACTAAGTAATTTGATATCTGGCTTCTAAGTAAAGTTACCTAGCACCTAGGAAAGCACCTAAAAGAGGTGTCTTTTTGCAAAAAAGTTGTCTTCTCATTAAATAAATTATAATTAACACCTCAAAAGAGAAAAAACTAGTTTTTTTGTCCTCCTGCAAAAGCAGTTCTAAGGACTACTAATACTCAAGCACTCCACAGCAAAGTACTATTAGTCTTCTATACCAAAACATCAAAAACATTCAACAACCTACCCTATCAAGCTCCAACTCCCTTCTAAAAACATGATCTCCAAAAGCTTTTCTAATATTTTTGGTTATTTTTTCATGTCATGCAAACTTGTATAACCCAAAGACAAACCACTATTATTCAGTCACCAACCCCAGCTACTGAGCACATAAAAAATTTTATTAAAATTACTATTAAAAACTGGTCTAAACTTACCTTCACTGTCAGCTTCTCTATTTCTGAATATTTTAAAAATTTTCTCTTCTATACAGATATTATCAAATCAGATAAAATTTCAAATTAGGTTAATTACTCATCTTAATAGATATGCAAACATAATGACCCTGCCCAATCAATTCTATTTGACCTCACTGTATACAAAAATAACATTGTAAACATTAGCGCCAAACACCCAAATTCACTTATAGTTGTGATCTTACTACAATTACAAATGTTTATAAGAGCAGTATAAAGCTATTTACCAAAGTAAAAAGCAATCTTGATTTGATTAGAATCTTGTACAACTCTATTACACAAATAGAATCTAATACGTAACAAGTCAAATAAGAGTATTAATAATGACTCATTTCATATTTCATGCTAACTAATAATCCTATTGATACATACAATATTGCTACAAGTAATACAAATAAAAACTAACACCACCATATCTACTACATCTAGACCCAGCATATCTACCAACCAAATTACTGTGTCTGTTATTTCAGTATCCACTTCTACCCCTGGTATGACAACCCAAATAGCCAGCTCTTGTACTAGTCACAAAAGAGCTAAAAATATATCACTACTTATAACAACTTCTAACAAAGCTGCTAAAACCATATCTGGTAGTACTATTACTACTTTCAGATTACAAACCTCTAGTCAAATAGCTACAACTAAACTACTATATAGTCAAGAAACTAAAACTAACCTAACACTCCTTGCTACTGATGATATGAAATAAGCTATAATCATATATAACAAGATCTCAACACTTACTACAACACTATTTGACACTATTACATAGTTCTTCGATATTATTGCACAGGCTCTTGAAACCCCAGAGAGTATCTTCAACTTTGTCAACTACAAACTATCTATCACTCCAACTTAACACAAATTACTAATAGTGATCACACTCAAATTCATGTACTATAATATATGATTCTTTACCATATTCACTTGTAACCTCAAAACCATCTCAGCTTACCTAAAAGAATACAATGAGCTCTTTAACAAAGCCTTATTAACCTATAAAAAAGAAAATGAAATTATACTTACTAACTTTACTGCATGCAATACTATTTATTTCATACTAAGCAAAATGCTTATTGCTCAACACCTGTCTAATATTAACTTCATTAAGATTTTACCAAAACTTGTTCATAAAGCTATTCACTATGCTAAAGGTTTTCTGCAGATCAAAGACACAAATAAAAAAACTTACAAAGAAATTAAAACTCAAGTAATTAAAGTACTTGAAAATAAACTGATCCCTCTATCTAAACATATCCTCAAAGAGATAAGTAATATCCTGCTATTCAAGCTTTCTATTATACAACAGTCACACATCAGAGCCATAGTAAATGCTCTAAGAGAATATTCAAGTTTTCAGAACTCCCAGAGGCTTATTTCACAAACTTGCTACCTCTTCCTTCTTACTACAATGGACTTATATCTAGTCTATGCTGGCTATTCTCTATTTTTTATTACTTGGCACTCCAACACCTGGTAGTATACAAAAGAAAACTAGCTGACTTCTATGTTGTTTTCAAAAACTCAGACTTTTACTTCAATCTACCACCATTCAAACAACTTCTCCCCACAACATACTAAAAGCTTAACCCCAAAGTTTAGAAATTCTTTTCATTTAACCAAGCAACTTTTTCAATTCCACTCACAAACATTATCACTCTACTTAAAGAATACTATACTTTTAAACTATTTTCTAATAGCTTTTTTGCTACTAAACTTCTATCAACTGATACTAGCAAAATCAAAATAACAACACCCTTTACTTATCCTAGCATTATTGATACAAATACTAAAGAGTTCATTAAACAGATATCTTCCCACTACAGAATTTCATACTTACTTCTATCTAAGATTATGCAAGCCAACCCAACCGACAAGCCTGCTCTTCTAACAGAGGAAATCACTGAATATTTCAACATCTCTCTTCCAGTTATCATCTCACAGGACTTAACTGCTACTGCTAAACTTTTATGCAAATACTACTATTTTATCTAGCTTTCCTCTAGCTAGATTAAGATTGATAACAATAATCTTTCAAGCTCTAACAATATTAATACATCCATCAGACTACTACTCCTTACTATTCCAAATAATATAGTAACATTTAAGAAATTTGAAAATGGAAATTCGATACTTAAAATTTCCAAATTTTACAATCTAAAAAAAAAGATAAATTATAAACATTGAAATGCCAGATAATAGACAGATACAGTATGGTTACATTAAACCCGATCGACAACAATTGCAGGGCCAAGATGATGTTGATCATTCTGATTATGAAAACGAAAACGAATTAGAATATCGACGACCATTTAAACATAACAAGAGAAATTTTTCATATTCTGACAGTGAAAATGAGCTCGAAGAGAGTGTTATCGTGGATCTGGAGACCTTGAACATTATACCGCGTTTTAGTGCAAAGCTTAACAAACATGCACATATACACAAATATAGTACTAAAGAAGAAGCTGATATAGATTGTAAAAATCTTTCTAAAATCTATTATTCAGTTGCTGAAAAGATTAAGAATGCTGATCAAAATAGTTATATACATATCTTTCTCAAGAAAAAAAAATCAACTAAGAAACCTTACTATGTTGCTGCGGTCTTGAGTGAATATAGTGAAAAGATTACCATAAACTATGACGAATTGGAATTAGGAAGTCAACAACCAATCAAGACAAAGGATCTGATGGGGTCACATATGTACATCCTTTGTATTGAATTAGTGTTAAGATACTTTAGATTTATCAAAAACGACCCCAAATATCAAAACAGGGTTTTTATTGTCCACACAACTGAAAATTTAATATCCCAGTCTTTTGCAAATAGATTTTACATTTTCAAATATTTTAATTTTTTAAAGAGTAGTTCTGAGCCGATCAATCAATCTTCTAGTTTTGAGGAAATATCACATATACTCACTGACTTAGATTCTCTAATCACTAGTTGTTATTCGATCGACAATGGAAGGATCGAAGATACTGATGAGAATTACACAAACTTCAAGAAAAGCAAAATAGTATCTATGCCTTTATGGGTAAAAGAACATGTCCAAGAACCTGTATTTAGTATTCTTGGTAATACCTCCAATTATAAATCTGTTAATGGGGAAAATGTCAAAGTCATAAAAAGACGGAGTGGTAATTTACATGTCGATGATATAGGTAAAAGACCAATAACCACAAAAAAACGCAAAATCATTCATAACAACAATCCTGACGTAGAAATTCAAAAGGAGGTAGGATCACCAATGCTCAATCTTAATCAACCAAAAGGGTCATTATAATATATCAATTTCTTTTATACTTGTAAATAAACAACTGAATTTCAATAAATAATTTTTACCACTTTTACAACGTAATATATCGTTTAATGAATACAATACTTTATTTGATAAAAATAAATAAAAATATAACAAGGGTTATTTTTTCATTACATCTGATAAGAATTCTTCACATAATTCTTGATAATTAGTTATCTGGGTAATTTGGTTAATTATTCCTCGACAGGTTGTATTTAGTCCTTCTTCAAGTCTTAGGTATAAAGTGTCTTTTAGGAGTTTCAACTATTGAGATTCTTTCATTTGGATTAATAAAACATAACTAAGTGTTATATCTAAATAATATTTCTTTATGTGGGTTATAATCTTTTAAAATAAAGTATTTTTTCAATCTTTTAAAGTTATCCGTAGTTATGTCATCTAACTCTAGTTTGTTATTGGTAATATCTAACCATGGAAACGGTCTGACACATCTCCAATATAATTCGTAAAACTTTCTTGTGTGGTTTTTATACATGTGGCAATGTGAGTAAAGGATCGTCATCTCATTTAATTCTCTACATGTTATAGTTGACACAATATACGCCATCGATGCAATGTCACCAATATTCATTGGTACCCCAACACAGAGATCAGCCGATCTTTGGGATGCCACTACATCTAATGAACCATCCGAATTTGTAATAAATTGTATGTTTACGATACATGGTGCCAATGCGGATTTTTTTCCTTTATCAGTACTCTCCTATTTAATATCCCTAGGATCCCAGTAACTTATCAAGATGTCTCTTCTCAACCCATTTCTTTTAATCTGTTTTATGATATTTCTAAGTTGATCAAACCCAAGTATCGGGTCTGTAATTATTTCATTTTTCCCACGGTCACCCCCAAAGTCCCTCATCTGATATGGATATAACCTTCCAAAATAACCGTCATTATTCTCAATATCTTTGGCCCACCACTTGTAGATATTTTTTTCCTTCAACTTTTCTTTATTGAACGTTCCTTCCATAAACATCACTTGGAGGTATAACATTCCTTCAAAATTTAATCTTCTTGCAGTGATGAATGGAAATTTATTATTCCGCAAAGAAAATTTCAACATGTAACCAACTGTTTTGTACATGTCGTTACCATGACAATCTTTCATACTGTCACCAAATAACCGTGTTTTTGCACAAAAATCCCATAGTAATTGTTCTTCAATGTTTCTACACAATAATATATTATGTAATTTCCTGAAAAACACATAATAAACTAACAAACACCCATAATTAAACCAATCATGAAATTGGTTATTGATTTTCATGATACGTCTAATTTTTATCTCGTAATTTTCTTTAGTCAAGACCAGGTGGCATAATTTCAGAACAATATACTTCGTTATACCTTTCCCATATATAAGAGTTAATTTAAAGACACAACATATCACAAATACAATGTCAATAACAAGAATCAAAAAATACAATTCTTTGTACATTTTTTTTATTCTACAACATCCATAATGGTATAGTTTATAAATTATAGACGTGTCACATAACTAAAACTCTAGATAATCTTCTATTCTAAACACCTCGTAATGTAATGGATATATTCCATTTACATTATTCAATACCAATAGATAATAGTCGATATGTGTATGGAAATATAATTTCCCATCTTCATTGATTACCAAGTCACGTCCAAACATTGGGCCCATATTCCCAAAACAACCTATAGTTATCGAACTTTTATCTTTTATATCTGCAAAGTGTATGTCATTGTTACCTTTGTGGAAAATAAAACTATACTCATCATTTTTCTTTTCACCATCACTTGACCATGATATTGAAGTATATCCTCCGATATATCCATCTAACGTGTTAATAACCACTAACGTCGGTCCTCTATTGTCACATAGCTTGTGGAAAGTTTCGTTGTTTTTTCCCTGTGTCTTGGTTGTATATAATAACTCAAAACTATACCTATACTCTTCTAATGTTACTTCATGGACCTGGTTTATATGTCTAATAATTTTCCTCAACTCTTCGCTCCTAACAACATCAGACCCAATTTCAAAATTACCGTATCTAATCAGATTTCGTTTCTTTTTTTCCTTTTTATAAAGTGAGGCAACACATATCTCTATATCATCATCCATCATCTGTTTAGAAACCACTTTATCGTCAATCTGGTCAAACCGTATCACATCCAGCAGATGTTCATATCTCTCTAAACCATTAAAGTTTAACCACATCATGACCTTTTTTAATAATACACTCTCACTAATATCAATATCATTATTTTGTAGGATCTTACAAGTAATGTTATCGGTACCTCTTGAATTTCTCCCATAAACAACTTTCTGGGGTTATTAATAACCATATCGACAAAGCCATCTATTAAAACACCATCACGTGTAATATCAACCAATTTTGCTGCTTCAATTATATCCTTTTCAATCAATTCACTCATAATCCTCTTGATATGATTTCTCAATATTGTTATTAGACTATCGATTAGTAACATATCCGCGGCAACATATAATTCATTTAGTTGTTTAAAATCCTTTTTATCAAAATTCAGTTCTCCACAATATATGTATTTTAATAAAAGTTCAAATATATTCCCGTCGATATGATACATTGACGCAATTATTTTCCCATTTATATTCCGACGCCATATTCTATTTAACGCAACATTAAAATATTCTGACCGTATTCTTAATATGAACGAATATGCATATATTAACCTGTCATTCAACTCGATTTTTACATCACACATCTCGTTACTTCTTTCATAATACTTTTTTTTATAATCATCACGCAGTAATTTCATACAGTCAAAATCCATTTCAAGAACCATTTTAATCAATTTTATAATTATTACGACAATTTTTATTAAATAAATAAAAAAAAACATTAAATAAATAGACAATAAATAAATAGACAATATTATACATCAAATCACAAAGTCATAGCTCTATTTTTTAATTACTCTCTGAAATCTATAAGATCTTTGCTTTTAACTGGACGTACTCTTTGATCTCTAGTAACCCATTTCTTATATAAGGATTCTGAGAGCTATAGTCGATACAACTATCACGAGACGTAACCAACTTTTCGTAATATGGTTTTATTGCATCTATATAAATATTAATCTCTAAATTTCCATATTGGGCCATCTTACAGATGTAACCTATGTGAGAGGTGTCTGGTTCTATATTATACCCTTCCTCTTTCAATTTATGCATAATTCCATAAACACATGTGATCATCCCTCTCTTAAATGGATTTTGGGGGTTTCCTATTGTTGATGGCAACGGCTAGAAAATGAACAGGTCTAGATAGTCACCACCGAGATGCAGTGGGAACAAACTAACAAAAAAAAAACCACACAACAAAACCAACAAGGGTGAGGCGTTAAGATTTGGCAAGGTAAGGCTTTTTGAGTTTGATTTGTTATGGGTGCGACACAAAAATGAAGGACTTTCGGGTTA